CGTGGTCAAATTGTGACAAAACCAAAGAGGAGCAGAGAAGCACACGAGTAGACCGATCCAAGCAATTCCGTATATGATATATCGTTTTAAGCGACGCATAAGATTTTCTAAGACAAGATTAGATGTGTGGTGTAAATCTTAGGGCGGAGTCAATATCAACACCAAGATTCCTAACCGTGTCCGCTAGTGGTATCAGAGTCCCACAACAAGTTACCTTGATGCCATTCAAAGACTTGAGTCGATCGGTTTTTTTACCAAACAATATAGCCATGCATTTGGTTGGATTTAACTGTAAACAGTGCTTAATGGAAAACTGTTCAATGTTATGCAAGTCATAATTGATAGCCGCTATTGCTTGTTGTACTTCGGTTGGATAGAAGGATAAATACAATTGAGGGTCATCTGCATAGCAGTGTAATGTAGACGAGGAGGAATATAAGTGCATTTGAGAAACATATATACAAAACAACATAGGGCCTAGTACGGACCCCTGCGGGACTCCATTTAGTACGGTTTGGTAGGAGGACATTTGATTTTATTTTAAATTTTGCCAACATTTTTCAGGGACGTTCTTCATAGGTTGCTTTATTTAATTAATTTCACTTCACAGAATTTTTGGCGATTCACAGAAGATTGTTCACATATTCTTCAGAAAGTAGCTTGCGCCGAGGTTTTTCAGGGACACGCATTCTCTACATATTTTTCAGAGATTCTTTTCATACACATTTGAGTTCCTAAGATCACAGCTTATCCCGATACTCACCCTTATATCGGGCGATCAAAAATGAGTGACTGTCGAGTCGCCTTTGGAAGTACAAGTTAAGTACGATTTCCCTTGTAAACAAAATTTCCAAAGGTGACTCGACGGTCACTCATTTTTGATCGCTTTGTATAAAGTTGACTGTTCCAGAGGACACAGAAGAAGATTTTTAAGAAATATCTAAAGATCTAAAAAAATTGAAAAGAATGTTTGAAGAACATTTGAGGAATCCATAAGATCTCTCTATTTGCCAATTTCTTTCAATTTGAAAAAAGTTCCCTTTAATACCTTTACTTACTTATTTTACATGGAACACGCTCTATATTAGTGCATTTTCAGATTCTACGCCAAATACATAAATTTAGTCGTTTGTGACATATTTTAATTTTGATGGCGTTTACAGGCTAAATCATATACAGGGTGACAATTTGAAAACTTACCACCCCCCATATCTTAGTAAATAAACGAGATATTTAAAAAAATCAAAATCCGTTTCGGTAATTTGGAGGGGGAATCACAATGACATAGTTGGCGACGTACCCCCTCCAACCCCCTGCGCCCCAGCCACCCCAACTTTTAAATCTTAAATAGTGACCCCCCATGTGTGATACGTCTTTGGAAAGCTCTGAAAAAAATGCTTTCCAACCATACCAAATAGCATTACATTTAGGTTAGTAATTATCGTGCAAATCAAAAAATAAACTAATATGATACATTTGAAATCTGTCGTATTTAAAACGCAACCGGCGAACATAGACGAACTAAGACAGAGAATAATTCAAGAATGTCGAAATATTGCAAAACCAACATTTGAAAAGGTTCGACAAGAGTTTGAGAATAGATTATAACTGGCGATCAAAAATGAGTTGCTGTCAAGTCGGCTTTGGAAGTTCAAGTTAAATACGATTTTCCATGTTTATTTTTTGATTTGCACGATAATTACTAACCTAAATGTAATGCTATTTGGTATGGTTGGAAAGCATTTTTTCAGAGCTTTCCAATGACGTATCACACATGGGGAGTCACTATTTAAGATTTAAAAGTTGGGGTGGCTAGGGCGCAGGGGGTGTGAGGGGGTGCGTCACCAACTATGTCATTGTGATTCCCCCTCCGAATTACCGAAACGGATTTTGATTTTTTTGAATATCTCGTTTATTTACTAAGATATGGGGGGTGGTAAGTTTTCAAATTGTCACCCTGTATATTATTTTTATATAGTCGTATAAGAACTCTTATTTAATTGGGGCTGGTTTTCTCTCCGCTTTAGTGGACTATGTTGCCATTTTGCAGTGAAAATCTGTGGGCACCATCTTGTAGAGCTTAAACAGTTCCCATGAGAAAGTTTTTTTTACCTTTATAAACGGGGCCAGAAATAAATAAAACTGACTGATTGGAATTTCCGAATTTTTTAAACCTCATTTTACTAAACCTCAAAATACGCAATTTTTCTAATATAGCCTGCTGTGTATCCCTTTATGGTTTCCGATTTCTCTATCCATTAACTCCCCGGACTTGAACAATAACCCCCGAAACATTTGTTGAAAATGAAGAAAAATAACCTGAACCTTCAAATGACCTAGTATCAGGTTCTTTTTGAATTCCTTAAGAATTTTTGTATGTGTTTGCTTTAGAAAAGTATGCACATGTACATATTTACAAACTGTACAAAATGCCATAGGTGGGTTGTCTCCCTGAGGTTTTTGTCGGGGGAAGTTGTTGTCACCCGAGGGTTAATGGAGAGCGGTTTTTGCCCGGGGTGATTTTGAACGGGGGTTATTGTCCCGTACCTGTTTGGAGACTTTTATACAAGATGTAACGCGCTTAGTTACATTTACAAGTGCCTTACAAGATCTCCACAAATAAAACTGAACCCCTACGGCACTGGCAAAATTTCAATATGTACCTATGACAATTAATTTTTTAGTCTACTCACGACTAACTCAGTAATAAACAATGTTCTTATATCCCTTACCTCTCGGAAGTTTGGTCCCTTATCTCCTCTTAAAACCTGAAATTCAAAATCTATTGCTCTGGTTCGATTGAAATCCAATAAATACGCATATGACTTTAGTTAATTAAATATATTAATGAAAACTAAGGCGATTCCATTTTTTTACACGTTCCTTAATGTAACATTGAAATTGATTTTTCTTAAAAAGAAATATGAAAAATGCTAAATTTGATCCTCATCTAAACTGTCATTTTTCTATACATAGTCAATTCCTGGTACCTTCTCCTTTTTAAAACATACATACATCTCTGCATACTAAACACATTTTTACTCTACGCAAATGACTAGTGTTACTGAAATTAAAATTCCATTCAATGCACCACAATACTCCAAATCCTTTGTTTGGATTCCATCCTTATTGATATATACAATACAAAATCGGTTCATCCAAATGGTATCTCATAGGTCGATTCCTTTAAGAATATTAAAATTACTTTGAACAAAGTTTTTTATGCAAATTTCTAAATTGTATGGAGCCACGGCGCTAAAAACTCACTAATAAAACGACGCTCGGAAAATTGTCAAAGTATGTACAGGGAGGTTCAAATTCGTGGCTCACCATTGGGATCTCCCTAACGCGTTGTCCGCTTTAGTGACTAAAAGAATGCATTTGAAATTTTAAAAAATCTTTTAAAATAACTGAGACATTCCCGAAAAACTGAAAATGCCAAATTTCCTTTTTATTTTCCCTAGCTTGAACGGTCGGAAAATGACGATTCGTTCTGGGGACACTTATTTCGGAGAATCTGAATCTATCATCAGCATTTCTATAACACGCTAGATGTAAAAGCTACAGACTACAGGGTACTAGTTTCTTATTTCTTATGGGCGCCATATTAGTCTTTTATGGAATGAGATAAAGGGCAAAAAATGAAAAATAATGACTTTTAAATAAATTTATAAGAAAAATTTCATAATCAAATGTTTTACATTCATTCTTCTCGACGGGTAACTAAATCTTGCCTAATGAACATGGGTATAATGGCGATGCATTCAAATGAATTTCTTTTTTGTCCTCTATTTGATTCCGCAAAAATGTAAAATGGCGCCCATAAGAAATAAGCAAGTAGTAGCCTGTAACTTCTATATCTAGCGTGTTATGGAAATTCTGATAACAAATTCAGATTCTCTGAAAAAAGCGTCCACAGAAGGTGTTACGGGGAACTGCCATTTTCGACCATTTAAGCTAGGGAAAATGAAAAAGAAATATCACGTTTTCAATTGTTCGGTGATGCCTCAGTTATTTTCAAAGATTAAAAAAAATGTTAAATGCTTTTTTTGTCATGGCAACATGGAGATCCTAATGATGAACCGCGAATTTGAATCACTCTGTACATACTACTACATAATTTTGGGACGACGACGACGATTTGACATTATAGGATTGTTTGTGCACTCTCCAAACATAATCGGTTGAAGAAACAAGAATATTTTATATACGACCCCAGGGGCCAGAACCAAGAAGTTAAATTTGATTTCGCTGGAACTACTGTATTATAACTGCGTGGGTTTATAAAAATTAAAATCGTAAAAAACGATAGGAATATGAGCCGAGTAGCAACAGCTACAGTATACAAATTTTCAAATTTAATTATTTAAGCATTAGAGAAACTATAAAGTTGAAAAATGACATTACGTGTAAAGGTGTAGGAAGAACGGCTGTTAACCAAAATACCCAAACTTGATTGCGGTTTACCTAAAGAAGGTAAAGTAACGGTGAAAATGTAAATTACTCCACTTTGTTTCAGTTGTCGATTCGTAAAGCTTGTGGTGTACGAATGCAAATTTTTATGATCCAATCAAAATGGTCAATTGGACTGCACGTGTTTGCAATCGAAGACCCTATAAATTAAAAAACTCTAAAATTTTATAATTTAGTGAGTTTGTAAATGATTATTTAATTAAAACTTGGACATTAGAATTAATTAATCGTGCCATTAATAATAGATCGAGATTTATAAACAAGCTCATCGCTAAGAAAAACAAAGCTCCTGTCATTATTATTGCATTAAGTTCAATTTAAAAATTAATGTCACTCAATGGTGCCCACCTTTTTGTGTGGATCAAAGGAGTCGCACCCGCTACGTCTTTGAAGATTTATGCACCCAAACGTAACTTTCTCCTAGACTTTATCGCTGTCCTTCGATGAGGCCGTTCAATTGGGGCCATAATCGTGTACGTAACAAGTACTTGCTGCTGTTTGTACTTGGTACGGTGCCTGCTATTACTACCGTCGATTCAGTGGGTCCTCAACCTTCAGGTTAAACGCGTCGGAGCCGTAGTCGCGCGCGTAGTACGTCAAACGCGGAAACGATGCCGAGAGTGACAGCTCAATGAACGCATTTTTTACGTGCCCACTACTACTAATTACGAAACAGGCAAGTGAAAAATTTAATTATTCGCAAATTATTGAAAATCGATTCCTGCGAGCCGTCTTGGACGGGAGGAACAAAACCCCCATTCCAAAATTGCAGTTGCATCGCACAGAGTGCTCGTAGGTATTGATCGCGTCCCTTTGACGAATAGACCATCTGTCTGGTCCTTTTCTTGCCATTTTCGGCTTTTTACCATATATCGACTTAAAATTAAACGATGACTAATTCGTTTTCCCAAACAAGGATCCAGCACGGCCTGTCGCAATTTCAGAAGTTCGATACGTATTGATTAAAGTTTCATTGTAGCTTTTAATACAAATAATTACGGCCGATTTCGCCTAGTCAATATATAATTACCTGCTCATTTAAATAAACGGTACGCTTAATAGTTAATATGACTTTCGTTTTAATTATGTATGATTTTTCAATTCATTTTACGGTTTATCTGTAACATTACTTTATTAATTAAATTCGTTTGTGCTATTTTAAAGAAAAATTGGAACGTTCAACTGTAAAACGTTGAGTACATATTAATTGATTTCGACCCCAAAACGAATAATAGTTACTGAATACGTAATTATGTACTTAAATCGCTATATATAAGCAAAATATCCGTCCAAACAGAATTAACAATGAGTTTTTTGTTAACTGCACAAAATTATTCAGGTTTCTTAATTAATTATTTATAAATCTTGGAAAGAGTTCCGATAATTAAGTCATACAAAACTAATTTTGGAAATATTGGGGATAATTATCACGCAACCCTCGATTCTGTTAAAAGTTTTGGTAAGGTCAATAATAGTTGTGAACGTTCCGCTAAAAATAAGTAGGTACATACAAAAAACTTCTCCAAATGTGCTGAAATAAAAACTCCAAATATGAATATTAACAAGATACGAAGAATCGCATACGATTTTTAGTAGGGGAATTTTTTGACACTTAGCTCGCATTCGGAAACCAAACTTTTAATCCGGCTCATATTCATTCTTAATTACTCAAATTTAGCGTACGGGTTATCTGCCAAAACACGTTATTTTGCGTTATTTAAGGGTCCGTATACTGTTGTGTTAACAAACGATATCGTAATGGTAACGACTTGATCTGGAACGACAACTATACTCAGTACCATTGTCGGTCCAGAGAAAATCGTCCGATCGTTATGAATTCTCATTAAAACAGTAGGCCGAATGAATAGAATTTGTTGACATTATAACTATTTTAAAGGAAAAATACACTAAAAGTAACAAGGGAGGACAAATTCGATGCTAATAAACCTCACGTAATAGAGAATGCTTGGAAAAAATTAGTACAAGCACTAAGATGCATCCGGTGGATTTTTAAAAATATGGAAAGTACATTTTATCGGGCAAAATATTTTTTTAATAGTAAAAATGAGGTGAGTTATGGCTATAACGACTGAACGAGTAGCTAAGGGCTTGTCGTAATATAACCACAAAATTAACGCCATATATCCTTACGAAACGATCCATTTTAGCGTACAGGATAGAGCATCTCGTTACCGAACGATAATCGCTGTGTAACGACATCGTTACGCGTTCTGGAATAGGCCCCGTAGTATGGACAAGATAACGTTTTTTTTCAGATAACCTGTACTCTTTAACGTTAGTGGTACATTATAGGGCTGATTATGCTGCAAAGAAAGCCAGAAAATTCTGATTACCTTCGGAGATATGCCTGAAAAGCGTTTATTTGTTTCTGATGTTATTTGGGCAAATACTGGAATGTACAGAGCATAACCATATGTCTAGACTCTATAGTTTTAAAGCTCAATATTTACTTCATAGATATAATAAGCTGTAATACTTGAGAAGACAAACTGTGTGGGCGTAGCGCTGCTATTGGTTTTCCTTTTATTATAGTGAAGTGCTTTAAGGGCGGGATATACCAAAGAATTTGGACCCATTTAAAATGGAAAAAAAGGTATTAATTATGGAGTTGGAGAAATTTGTCCTGTTACCTTTCAAAATATGGCCCTATTGCTACCTTTTTTTTTGCAAAAATATGCAAGGATTTAGTAAACCAATTGCAATGAGAACCTCCAGGGACGGTTTACTCAGAAAAACGTGTGGTTACTCCAGTTCTTGTTCCAATTTAAAGATACACATAATTTTAAGTGATTTAAAACGGAAGAATGGGTGGTAGTTAGTTCTAGAGTGAGTTACTATGCGTGAAAAAGTTTGGGCCCCCCATTCAAAATTGTTGATTTGGGGTACATTCAACTAATTTTGGAAGGGGGCCAAACTTTTCGCATCTAACTTCCGGTTTTATGACATCATCAGTTTCGAAGGATCCGTTACTATAATTGTTCGATTATGGTCATAAGGGATAATTGGAAAGATAATAAAAAACGGAACATCAGAACACTTATTTACGTTAAAGAGCACCGTTGCCGAGATATGGACAAGAAACCGTACCGAGAGGTCTCAATTCCAAGTACGGATTTGAAATTAGTGAATGAACCGTTAAAGATATAGTAATCATTTATATAAAATGAAATATAATGCTTTTTGTACCCTGTAGATGATATTCACTTCAATAGATGTCTCGTCCAGACTATTAACTTTGCTTTTATGAGTACTTTCCTCCGACAAACCTTTTCCGAGATATTTGCTCTTAAAATTTTGATATCACCAATGGGTATATTTCTTCGAGACAGGATCGTCTTTTGTGATTACCCTCCTCCGACAATCTATTCTTGAGATATAAGGAATTATTTATATCCGATCACGATAAGGGGCCGAGGAGGAGGACTATGGTTGGTAGAAATTAATTCCTTCTCCATTGTCTTTTCAAAAGTTTTATTTGGCCCCACTAAAGATATGCGTATGCAAAATCTAAGACCAATTCTAGGACGATTCCCCTAAAAGTAGTTCAACGCGACAGAACCGGGGACAGAACTAGGTCCGGACTGACGGACAAAACGCAAACAGTAGCACTTTTTTTATTCTTAAAAATTTCAATGCACCATCCCGTATATAGAGTGTATTTTTTGATGTGCCATTTCAATTGGTGCAAAAGTTGCTAAATTTATTAAAGTTACTTCTAAGTTGTCTTTTTTTCAAAATTTAGTTTGGGGAGAGGGCTAAACTGTTTTCATTTCTATAATTTTCAATTTAAATTGGGGGTTTTCAATGGACCTCGTTGTAATCGATTGATTTTTCATTTTTCATCAGAATGGAGCTCCTGCCTGCACTTTAGATCAATTCATCTTTTATTCAGGGCTTTGGCGGATCAATTATTTTTTAGTCTTTTCGTTCGACATTTCTACTTGATCAAAATTTAGGGTCATTTTTTCCTGCGTGATATTTCAGATCAGGATTTTTAATTTTCGAACACAAACGAAATTTCGAATAATCAAATCTGCCTTTCACAAAATTTTAGTTCTTTATTAACGAGCTCCTAGCGCATTTTGCGGTATTTGTCTGTCTGTCCATTAGTATGATATCTCGAAAACGAATGGACCGATTATAATTTAATTTTGTAGGTGGATGTAGACCAAAAAATAAGGAAGGCCCTTTTCTCCGTTAGTTATGAACCGAATTACGTGAAGTGCTGATGTATTTTGAATTGAAATTTAAATTTCGATGTTTTTATCATTATCTCGGTTCACTTGCTCATTGCACCCGATTTGTATTGTGGTATTTATCAAAAAATGAGATGAGATCGGATAAATGAGTGGGAGGACTGCCTTCCTGTACCACTGGGAAGGTTCCACCTTCGCCCAGGAAGGTTCCACCTTCGCCCAGGAAGGTTTACCGATGGGCCTGAATAGGGAATGCTTTTTTATTATACCATGGGAATGCTTAAATTCGAATCACCCCCGGGCCACGATTTGGGATTTTCTTGTCACAGTAGAGAAAAACATTATTCCTTGAGAATCTTGCTGCTCCTATTTCTATTTAGGATTTCGAGTCACTATTGTAGCAATTCGGGGGGTGGGGAGTATTAGAATTTATACAGGAATCAAGATAAAAGTTTTTGATGTGCCTGTACGTATTTAAATGTTATCAAACCCTTTGGTGGAGTAGAGATGTTTGACGATTATACAACCTAATTAGGAGGAAGATCGATCCGCAATCTAATTAGCTTCCCACGTTGCGTAATTGAGGTGCGAAGAAGGTGCGCCTGGTAAACCTTTTCTCGAGCCTTTTCTCTTTATTAATTTAGTTAATTTCGTTTGTTTCAATGACTTGATTATTATCCGCGAAACCGCAGAGTTTGAAGGTAACTTATGAATCAGAAATATTGTTCTCTAATTGAATTGCGAGCATTTCTGGGTCAGCGCGCAACTAGTTTTGCTTCCATCATTTGCCATTTACAAGAAGTGAAATATATGAACACATTCGGGTCTATTTGTGTGACTTTTATGTTGAGTTTTATTGAGACTTCTAAAAATGCTACTCCTTTTTTAGCAATATTATTGAATTTCTTAGATGTAACAGGATATCCTTCAAGATTATGTACGGGATAGGAGCTTTCTTATGAAAACTGGAAAAACCAATCATAAATCAATTAGAAAATCAAAAGAAAAAGGGGTTGATTTTTGTTTTTGATTTAGCTCTATTATCGCTTTGTATGTTTTACTGCTTTAAACAGCGGCCATTCAAAATTGTGAAACGAATCAAATATTTTTCACTCGATTTTTCATATTATCTTATAAAATATATTTCGTGAGAGATCTACACTAAAGGCTGTACTGGCCAACTCCAAAAATGTTTAAGCTTAAAAATTTTTACACATTTCTCACTTTTTATTGTTTTTTGTTTTCATAGCTGTTTTGCTTGTTATTTTATAAATCGTTCGTGTTCGTGTTGCGTCTCTCGCAAATTTTTTTATGTACGACTGCTTGATAATGCGGTGATTTCAGTCGCAATTAGTGGCCATAATTTGCAATATTATGGCCTAGTCCATAATGATAAAGTAAAACGGCCGCCTGTCAATGTGACAGTCGTACTTAGGTGTCAATCCAAGGTAAATTCAAG